AACCCTAAACCCTAAACCTTCCGACCGCTGCTTGCGAACTTCAAATTGCTCAGTGAAGAAGGGGATGAGGACCCAGAGATGAAGTTTGCAGCGACGGGACCAAGAACGTACCGGATGGCCGAAGAAGTCAAAGGGACGCGTTTTGCAGTGCATGTGAACGGAAAAGGCTGTTCCAGCCTGGATTCGTGGCATGAGCCACTCCGTGCAGCAGCTGTTCTTCTCAAGAATGAGAGGCATCCAAACCGGGGATCACAATTGGGCTGTTCGGACTCTGGTTGAAGGTTTTAGGCTGTCGAGTGTGGGGTTTAGGTCTTTAGGGTATCCGTATCCGGGATGTCTTGGGATTGGCGAGGTTATCCCTGGTCTTGTGACTAGTCTAGGATCTTGTTTCGGGGCTTAAGGTTTCGGGTGCAAAGCTCAGACGTTTCGAAGACTGAGGCCGAAATCTGGCGGGTCCCACTTCATGTGTGGCACCTTTGCTGCACCAAGATGCCCCCGATACGTGCTGGATTGAAAACTCAGGATTTGGAAGCCGAAGCCCTTTCCCTTAGGATTCACAAGAGCTACTACAAGAGAAGCTTCGCAAAGAAACGTCGTTGAACCTAAGGAATCTGAGCAAACTCCGAATGCCCCCACGAGTTAGCGAAGCTGAGTGTGGCGCAGGGTTCATGGTTCAGCGCCTACGGCCTAAGGTTCCTGTATCCGGGCTTTACCTTTCATAGGGGTCCGAAGCCATGTATCCGAATCCTTCGCTTCGAGGCTTTCGGGCTTACGAGGCTAGAGTTTAGGGTTTAGGGGATATCTTATATTGGGGTTCGTAGGTCTTGGGGCCTCAGCGTTGGTCGCATGTTGAGCTGGATAGGTAGCACAGGAGTCACTAAACCCCAAACCTTAAACCCTGAAGTCACATGAAGGGTCAGGCTTTGCGGGCTTAGGATGAAGGCTTTTGGGTTCCTTGATTTCGGGCAGAGGGCTTCGTCCAAGCATCCACAACAAGACCACCGTTCTAAGCATCATGCACGCACCCTGCTGTTCTACATCTGACATCTGGTCCTAATCTTTGGGGCTGTGATTTGCGGGTTGCGTGTTTAGGGAATGGGGGCAGCTGGTTTGGGACTTGCGTTCGGTGGTGGGGTAGCCCGGCGGGCCATGCTTGGTAGTAAGTTCTTATTGAAGTTATTGCCATTGCCAGGATTAGGGACAATAGGATTTTGCCGAGGAGGGGCATACAATCGACAGAGACTTTTCAGACTTTTAGATACGGAGCATGTTATGCTCAAACCCCAAGCCGCCCTACTTGGAGGTTTAGGGTACTTAGTAACTAGGGTTATAAGTAAAGAAACTATACTTGTAACTAGTTATAGCACCAGTTAAGGTACTTACAACTTTACTTATTCCCTAAACGCTAAACCCTTAAGTTCCATGAACCTCCAAGTAACCTTTTTAAGGCTTGGTGGCGTCGGCCGGCAGTTAAGCCGGCTTTATGGGAACGTCAACAGAAACTCTTACATAGGGTTTAGGGTTTAGGGTTGCGGGACCCGTGATACTAACCTGTATTGTAGCCCTTAGTTTGAAGAGGGGTCGGTGATTTAGTGAGTGTTCCCGCACTTCCTTGCACTTCCTTGCCGTCCGTTTATATTATATTTATGGTACCACCGAAGCCGTATTTTACTTATAAGGGCTCTTGTTGTAGTAACCCTTATAGAAGCTTTTGAGCGGAGCCCTAAAACGGACTCTGCTCGAACTACGAAGCTCTCCTATACTAATATAGAAGCCTTAATTACCAGTATTACTGCTAGGGCTCCTTATTATAAATATATTATAAAAGAGCCCAAAACCCTATTCTAATCGTTAAGGCCCCTATACCCTAAACGCTTACAGTAGCCCTGATAGAACCCTTTAAGG